AAGAATTAATCAAAACTAATTATCGAGATCTTATTAAATGATTTAGAGAGATCAAGTAGATTTTGTTGCACTTTTCATTTAGATTCAGTTCATCGAGATTGTATTGACATTGAAAATGTTTGAAGATCAGCTAATTGTTGTATTGCTTGAGTTCTATTTTCGGAACTCCAATCCTGAAGATAGATAGAATTATCTTCTGGAACGACGTATGAGGCGATCTGAAAGAGTTGAGCATAGGTAATGATCATCGATATTCTCCTGAATGAATAGCTAGCCGACTCAGCTGATGACACTGGAACCGTCCTATATTATGATTTTCTCTCTGTCTTCCGGAGTTCGTTTGACATAGATTCTTGAATTTTTTGGCCATTGACAAATCGTCTTTCAGAATAATTTGTGAATAGTCCTACCAATTAATATTCTTCAGTTCCATTTTTCGAGCACCTTTCTATTTATAAAGATTTGTGTTTATTGATTAATGATATAACTCTTCGGTGATCATTTCTTGTCTATCTACAAATTAGTTTTAATTATGACGAAAGACTTAAGAAAAAGAAAACACTGAATATTTATCTATTGTTTTTAAGATTATTCATATTTGGACCATGGGTTGAATATGGTATCGATCGTCAATTGACTAAACATACATATGGATCAGCAACAGTTGCAATTAGTGCAAGAATGGGAGTGTTATTAAGATTAAAGTATGTTTTTGTCAAATCATTGCCTATATGATTCAATCAAAATTATGCAGATAAATAACTAGATATAATACTTTAGATTTATTCGTGGTAATCAAACATTCACTATTCCACTACCATTATCTCAAGATGTCCTACCTAGTGCTATATTTTATGCTACAATAGTACCTACTCTTGCGTATCTAGTACTTGATCGATTGATTATTCAACCATTTGCTCGATCAGAACAAGAACGGTAAAATTATTATTATTATTTTTCTTCTACTATAAAACTATGGTAGGGTTTTTTTTCTGTAGCGAGCAGAAAAAACATGAAGATGAAGCACGTGAAAAACAAAGTGAACATCGACGTGAAGCAATGAATGCTCAAGAAGTCCTTCGATCACTTGTTGAACAAATAAAAGATAAAGAAGGTTCACAAGGTTTAATTATTCTTGAAGCATATTATGGTCATTTAACATCAATAATTAATGAATCTTCAATAAAAATAATTGATGTTAGTATACCATTACAAACATTAGTTAAAGATTCAACATTAAAAATTGAAACAACAGTATCAAAATCAAATTTAACTGGTTTTTATGATCCATGTATAGGTGAAGAAAAATCATTATTTATTAAATATTCATTTCATTCACATATACATTCAGTCACATATAAAGATTTGGATCCTGTTATATTACCAAATCGAAGTAAAAAAAAAAGATTTTTAAAATCTATTTATAGTATAATCGAGTTTTGTTTCTATTATAGATCATTTAATATTGTGAACCTTTTTATCTGCCACATGTGTTACTTAACCGGTAGGTCATAATGAATGGTGGCATTTTGTATTTTTAGTGTTTTCAGCATTTAATACGTTTTATTAAAAAAAATAAAATATACCATAAAATATAGCTTGAAAAGCTCTACTATACAAAACTTATTTTATATGTGTATCTGTAGTTTTCAAAATAGATAAAATTTTATGTAACTGATTTTTTGGTATGCGATTAATTCCTTTTCATATTTCTTCGATTACAGAACCGTATCAAAAGTCATAATGGCCAATTTTACACTAATTGATATGTATGCTTGATTATATTCTGTTGTTAATTCATTCTAATTTTATAGAAAAAAATAATGATACGGTTAGGAGCTTCTGACAATATCTCAAATTGTATCTAGATCTGGTGAAACATTATCACATGATAATTATGTTGAAATTGCTCTTTCACACGTACAACCTGAAGGTCAATATCTAGAATTTTATACATTTCATAAATAATCACAAACAGTCTGAATCTCAATATTCAAGATTATTATATATGTGAGGCGCTATCACCAATAAAATTCTATGGAATAAGGTTAAAAATAATAATTCATTAATTGATTGAATAAGAAAAATAAATTCATTGTGTACTAAAAAAAAAACTCAATCTTGTTCACAATGTTGAAAATCGGTCACACAGAATTTTGTCTATTTCGAAAACTAAAGATACCAGCGAGAACGAAACATGACCATCTCAAATATTACTTAGATTCTTTATGAGATTTATTTTTTTGAACAAGTTCTAAAAAAAACCAGCTGTCCAGTGGTCTGTTCTAGTCCTAGTACGAGACTTTTCATTTTGATATTATCTCGCGATAATATTCGAACTCACTCACGTCGCTAACAACAAGTAAACTTAAATTAAGTGTGTTTACAAAAGAACTTTACATAGAGCCTTTGTAATATCAAAAGTCC